CTAAAACAAAGCCAGCCGGATCACACACGCCCGGCTGGGCGCTATTGGCCGAGTGATGGCGAGGGCCGGGCGGAGGTGATCACGTAACGCAAGGAGGGAAGCCGCCGCCGCCCATTTAGAGGATAGGTATGAGAAGTTGCTACGAAGAAGTGGGGAGAACCGTTGACGCCCCTCTGAAGTATGGTGAGAATAAGAGAAGGTGGGAGTAAGAGAAGACTTCCAAAAATGGAAAGGAGTGGAAAATTCCTAACCAAAAATAAAAGAAGTGGATATGGATTTAGAATTATCGAGGAACCTCCAACCCCGACAAACCCACCCCGGTTTTGGTCGGCGTCCATATAAGCAAAGTCGCAGCGAGCAAAAATCAGTTAAGTTCAGTTGAGTTGAGTTCAGTTCAGAGGAGTCTAATCCAGAGTGCTCAGTTGAAGCAGGCCTCGCAGCTGACTAAGATTCGCGCAACTTCCGAACTCATCTTCAATCCAAGAACAATTTATTTTGAAGAGCGACTTAGATCCATACCACCAAAATAACTTTTTCGACTATCGCCTGAAGACACACCAAGAACCAATTTCTTAAATAACAGACAACTTAAGATGTTAAAACTCGCCTAACAAAAACAACGTGTCACAATCCATATAGCGGGTCGGGAGATAGACGCAGTCCTATGTATCCAGCAACTAGATATAAAGTATTGTTATCCTTTTTTTGATACCTTGAACTTTTGAGTTATCATTTTATTTTCTTTTTATATTTGTGTGATATCACCCTCGTTTGAACTCAATTTGCATTACGGCCCCAACGACTGATTGATTTCGTCTGCCTAAGATCAATTCACAACGTGGGTAGGCGGACTGGAGATCAACGCAGTTACTTCGGTAACCAGACGTTGGAAGCGAGTTGGGAACGACGAGGCTGATATTGAATCTAACCAGATTCCCATCCGAATCAGCAAAAGGTTAGAACGTCACATTTGGGTGCCGCGATCGATACCAAGCCAGTTGGTCGTCACAGGACGGGACAATACAACTGACGCAAACAGGCGGACGTCACGTTTGGAGCGGCGACACCCGAACGAAGCAGCGAGGAGCGAGCAAAGGCTGTGTTGAGGGACGTCACATTAATACCGACAAGTTTTTTGGTTTGGTTAGTTTTGTTTTACGGCATATCAATCTCAGTGGCTTATTTAATGCCGACAAGATTTTTGGTTTTGGTTTGTTTTACGGCATATCAACCTCAGTGGCTTATTTAATGCCGACAAGATTTTTGGTTTGGTTAGTTTTGTTTTACGGCATATCAACCTCAGTGGCTTATTTAATGCTGACATGATTTTTGGTTTTGGTTTGTTTTACGGCATCTCCATCTCAATGCGCTATTTACTGCTGACAAGATTTTTTATTGCTGGTAATATTTAAAAAAAATGTATTGCTGGTAAAGTTTTTTCAAAAATGTATTGCTGATATTAATACCTATTTTTTATACTTTTATAGTGTTTTGACCCCTTTTGGGTGGGTTAACTATTTGGACCCTGACAGGTGTTACCAACCCGGGTCAGGGTGGACCTGGCAACACCAGCAATTAAGAGGTGGCACCACGCTCCTCAAAACCTCCTGATCAAAGACCTTGCGGTCGGATGTAGTTTATTTACATTTTTTGTTCATTACAATTCTTGTGGGGATTGGTTGTTATTTGTTTAGTTCAAAGTCTTGACTTTCTTTGAAGTATCTTTTATATTTACAAACATTCTATTTCTCAATATTTTTTCATGGGTAAATGTGCTCTTTTCTGGCGTCTTGCTTCCCAGTCAACTTTGATCTTCAAAAATTTAAATGCAATGTCAATCTTTATCTTCCGTCTCCGTAATTCCTGTTTTTTTATTCTCTTTCCTTAATAGTGTTTTTTCACATATTCTCTTACAATTGCCCCTTTGAGGCTTAGTAGTTTTATTGCCTTGCTTGGGTTGAAATGACACAAAAAACGAAGGCTTAAGAAAATTGAAGGAGCGAGAAATGAAATCGAATATAATTATTATATAAAAGCATGTACTAAGAGACGATCTCGGAAATTTTGAAATGAACTTTAATAATGATATATGTATATATATATATATATATATATATATATGTGTGTGTGTGTGTGTATGTATGTATGTATGTATGTGTGTGTGTGTGCGCGTGTGTATAGGTACCTCGACTAAAACGTTAAAAAAATCGGCATTCTATGCGATGAAAACATGTTCCAAAACGTAATGAAAACAGTTTTATCGTCAAAATCGTTATGTTATTATTAGGAGGAAGGATCAAAGTATTTTTATATATTTAATTAAATCTTTTACACCTTTTAGAACGTGCAGAATTTTGATTAAAAATTTTGTTTTTCTTGCGTCAGTGGTTGTACTAACTTTTAGCATAGCAAATGTTAAACTCTTATTTTATAGTGGCAGACACATTAACCTAGAAATTCTTGGAAAAATCAAATAATTGTCGGATTTTAATTAAATTTTCCGAATTTATTCGCCAATGAATTTAAGTATTTTCGCAATTTTTTTTATTAGAAAATCATGGTAACAATATTTTTTATTCTGCATGTGATTCACCACCTTACTTAATTTTATGAAAACTTGAGAAATTCAACGTGATAATTTTTAATGACTATATTAGTTAAAAGCAAAATTTTTTGAAAAATTCAAATCACCGAATATTTTTTGCAAAATCGGACCCCGTCTTGCCGATAATCTGTTCTGAATCGAAAAAAAAAAACGCAATAAAACTAGGACATTATTTAATTAGAGAATCTTTCAATTGCTTCTATGAATAATGTATATTACAGATAATATGAAGAAAAAAATTTCGAAGGAAAATGTATTTTTACGAGATTTGTTTTCATTTTTTACAAATTTAAATTGAATAATTTATAAAGATTTTAAATCTTTTCAAATTCAGTTTCTATGTGATAATTCTCAGGAACTATTGTTATTAAATAAAAATATATTTACTAATTTTATATTTTAAAGCTTATTACAATCTGACGACCACGAAAATTTTTAAAAGAATTTCGATTTGTTTTTGCATGTGTGATATATGTGCAGAATTTTTAAGTATGGATGTACAAACCTATAACATTATAATTAAAAGGCCACGGGTTTTAAGGCTTGTCTCTCCTTATAGGAAAAACCCTCATGAAATTTATCATCTGCTTCACCATATTTAACTATGAACACATTCGGCGGTCGATCGTCTGTCAATAAATCGATTAACACGTCAGAAAAGCAAGTCCCTGTGGCTAAGAAATGCTTGTATACAATATTTTATGCTATAAGTAAGTAATATTTGTTTCAAATAAAATTAATTTAACTTTGAATTTGCTAATATTCCTCAAATAATGTTTAAGAAATATACATTTTATTTTTTACAAGATTTTTAAAAACGAGAATTAACTTTTGCTTTCAAATGTGTCAAACATGGCCGATTTTACTAAAAAAAAAAAAAAATAAAAAATATCGAATACGATCAATATAATTTCAGTTTGAAATACATCACAGAGTATTTTGCTTACTGGAAATAGTATAGTTTTAATCTTTTCGATTTCAATTAAAGCTAAAATAAAAGTTTCAAGAAAGCGTTTTCATTTAAAAAATCATTTTAAACCTTACGTATACCGAATTAGTGGAGGTACCTATATATATATATATATATATATATATATATATATATATATATATATATATATTTATGTGTGTGTGTGTGTGTGTGTGATTATGTCTGCGCGCGTGCGTGCGCGCCTGTGTTGTTATTTTTGCAATCAAATACTTCTCGATTAGAGAAGTCTCTTCTCTGCCCGTGCTATATTTTTCTTTCAAGGAATTATTGTTTGCAGACCTCATTCATTCGCTAAGCTAATAGTCATGTGGTCTGTGAATAATGGTGTAATTAGAAAGTTAATATTTGGTAGGATTGCACTTGTTAAACCTGCTAAACCCCTCCTCACCAAATGATCCCTCGGAACATTAGAACATCCTTACTCTCCCTCTCTCTCCCCCAAAACATAAGTACATCTGTACATGCAGATATTTATATGGCCCAGGCAAGTCAGTCATAAGTCGACATTTTCCGTAAGTTTTGCAATATAAATGGCTGAGCGAAAAAAACAAAACAAAAACAAAAACGCTTATATCCCAGAGCAGGTGTGCTTCTGTGTATGAGGTCATTTTGGCTTCGGTAACTGCAGCTGTGCAAATCCGGGTGTAGGTCGTGTTACAGCGTCATGGTAGGAGCAGAATCAGAAAATGAAGTCAGATAATATTCCAAAAACTATTATTTGGCACCCTACGACCCCTTTCCTCACAGACGAAACTTTGTTAGCCTCTCGCGGCTTTATTGCTATTTTCATGACAGATGCTCAGACGATTAGAATTCCTTAGTTTCACCAGTCTAGATGAGCACAACTAGGATCCGCTAGGCCACATAAACAGGCACAACCCATCTTCATCGCTTTCATATTTCATTGGTAAGGAGGAAGTGTCTCCCTCAGAACTGTAACTCTGTGGAACCGATTTTCGAAAGGACGTTTCCTCGATTTATACGATTTCAACCTCTTCAAGACAAGGGTCAACCGTTATCTATCCGACATATCCTCATAATATCCACTTCCAACCCCTTTTTGCACCCTTAAAACAACCTAATTCAATGACTCACTACTTTAAAGTGTGTCTTGTATTAAAAATCTATTCGTGGATATAAACTGGGATAAATTCATTGAACCTTTCGCAGGTTATTTTAAGCCAGTTTTTTTTAGATAAAAAGAAGTTTTAGGGGAGGTAATAATAATTTTGCTTATACAAATCCTACTAATTAACCCATAGCTTGTGGAGAATAGGTGGATTCCTACATTTCCCAAGTGTACTTGCGCGTAAGTGTATAAAACAAGCACATCTAGAATTAGAACTCAAGTCCCCAATTTCAAATTCCGAGCCGTTATCCATTACACCATACACAGATACAAGTTTGCAGCACCTGATATTCCCAAGTGGTCACCCGTCGAGGAACTGACCAAGCTCGACGTTACTTAACTTCGGTGGTCGTAGGGGAAACGGTGTTTGAACTTGATATGTCCGTAAGTCTTGGGATAAATATTTGGTTCGATCTCAGCAGGAAAAGTGTTTGAAACATTTCCGATTCCACAGTGTTAATGAAAATGGTTTTTGCTGATAGAAAACTCGACGGAGCGTTTTGCCACTCACTAAGCTTCCGTTAGTCTGGCATAAAGCCACAAGAGCGGGCCCTTGTGAGAATCGAGCTCACGCTACAAACTGGTTTCCAGGATTAACTAACTTTTGTGAATGTCAACAAAATATATTCATATACATAAATAGAAACAGAATTGTAATTACAGGTATCAGTCACATACACACATATACACACACACATACACACATACATACACACACATACATAAACACGCACACACGCGCGAGCACACACACAGACATACACACACATACTTTCCTCCACACGCATTCACAAAAACTCACACTTGTAAACCCAAATATATACAAAAATATAAAATGTGTGACTTAACCACACACTATTAAAATAAGTGTTCAACCACTAAAATGAACGAGAACCTTACTTTCTTTTTATGTGCCGTGTCCCTTCAGGACGTAGGCGATCATGGCTCTCCACTTCCTCCTATCACTTAAGTTTCATCCCCCTGCGATCTCCCCCAGACCACGTTCTGTCATCCATTTGCTTAAGCCCGCCAGGTATGTCATGCGTTGTTTTCTCTTGTCTCTTTTTCCCTCTATTCGACCTGTGAGTATCATATTCTCCAGGCCCTCTTTTCTCATTACGTGCCACAGATATTTCATCTGCCTGTTCCTGATGTTAAGTTTAAGCACCTCTCTTGTTTGCATCCTCTCCAAGACCTCATCGTTGCTCACACGCTCGGTCCATGATATCCTCAGCATCCTTCTGTAGAACTCCGTCGCCTCGATTCTCTTCTTTATCTTTGAGGAGACCGTCCAACATTCGCTGCCGTAAAGGAGGACAGATATCACGTAATAGCTCAGTATTCTTTTCTTTTTTACCAATGAAATCTTCCTGTCTCGGCATTCTCTGTCCAGCTTTTGAAATGCGTCCTTGGCCATCCCAATACGTCTTCGGATGTTAGCGTCGCACTTACCATCAAAATACTTCCCAGATATTTAAACTTCTGCACCTGCTTGATTTTACTATGCCCGACCTGTATATCGTATTTCGGGCTCATCCTTTTACTGATGATCATGCATTCTGTCTTTAGTAAATGGACGATTCAGAAATGAGATTTGTAAGTCGAGGACACTACTCAAGGTATTAAAATAGTTATGACGAATGAAGTGTTTGATATGAATGAAAGCGGAAGTTGTATTTTTTGTATAAAATCTCCAGGAGAGTGACTTATCGCGACTCTTCTTTGATTATAGTTTCCCACTGACATGAACTGGAAAGATTATATTGAATCATTTGCGAAATGTTAGGAAAGATGATTCATTGTGTCGTGCCAGACAATTTTTATCGCCACAATCTATTTTACACATTCGTATACCCAGAGTTCATCCATGCATTGAATATTGCTGGCAATCTGGTCTGCTGCTTCTGCTATGTATTCAGGGATTCTTGATAAAATCCAAAGAAGAATATATACAATGTTATCGGTCCTGATATGGCATTTCAGCTTCAACCAATTCCCCATCGCTATAATGTAGCTTCCCTGTGCCTTTTCCATAAATATTTTTTATGGTAATTGTTCTAATTGTCTTGCCTCTTTGGTACTTTGGCTTTATGAATTTAAGCGCAGTACTAAATTGGCGGCTAGGTCTCATCTTTTTACAGTTGAAATTGCTAGCTGTAACCGTAATTTCTATGTTAACAGTTTCTTCTCTCGAACTTCTTGCTTCTGGAATTCTCTTCTGGAATCTTGCTTTCCAGTCAACTTTGATATATTTATTACATACAAGCATGTATTAAGAAACCACATCGGATTTTTTTAAATGTGGTATAATCATTATTGTCCAGTGCTTTCTGCATTCTGTTAAGGATTCTTCTAGAATCGGTGAATTACTATAATGATTATTCTAATCCCCCAAATTCTATCGCTTATATATATATATATATATATATATATATATATATATATATATAGAGAGAGAGAGAGAGAGAGAGAGTCCCCCAAAAGTGTACTCACTTTTTGACGTCTTATAATGTCTTGAATGGTTTTCTTTTTTCATATTCATGTATCTAATTTCAGTTCATATTTAATTTAATCCGCTTTAAAATTCAATAAACATTAATATTTCTTAATTTTAACCATTAATCTTGGTTGCAACTCAATAAACACTGCATTTATTGTCATTTAAAGTGTGAGAAGGGTAAAGACCCTGAAAAAAGAGAAAAGCACAAAATGGTAGTTATACCAAAACCTTTGCACGACCAGGTTTGTGCGTTGTTTTGAATCTCTCCTTTCTTTCAACACATGCTAATTAGGTGCGATGATAATGACCCAAATAGAGTCAATGTTTCATCTGTAAAAACTGTATGCAGAATATCAACTTATACGTTGACAATTATTAAAAATTGACAATTGAAAATTGCACAGTACTGAGTATATATATATATATATATATATATATATATATATATAAATTATTTTATTATAATTATAATATATATGTAATTTGTACGAATACTTTTTTCACCAGTTTCTATTAGAATAAGAATTAATTAAGTTTATTATTATTTTTAATAGTATGTGTCTTTATACATAAAATGTGCTGAGATTTGTTTTATTTAAGGCTTTTACATTTATAAAAATCCAAATTTTGAAGTGTACGAATATTTATTTCCCCCAACTGTATATGTGTGTGTGCGTATGGGTCGTAACCTATCGCTTATACATTTTTCATTAAATGTTACAGACAAGGAAAATATATTTTTTCTGGTTTTCTAATGTTTAATGTTATGAAGACGAAGTGATTGTTGAAACTTTACGTACTGATTATTATTCCAAGCACTTTTGGCTAATTCATTAACCATTTTCATAAAAAGTTCGTTGTTAGTATATGATTTATGTTCTAAGCCTTATTATCTAGAGCGAGTAGTAATTCTTACCTGTGATGGATGCGAAGAGTAGTAATTCAGTATCCGTCATTCAATGCAATATATATATATATATATATATATATATATATATATATATATATATATATATATATAAATATATACAGGATGTGTGTGTGTGTGTGTGTAATGAATGCACGGCCGCAATTTTCGAAGGATTTGCACCAAAATTTACATGCAGTTGCTCCAAGTTAGCGGAAAGGCCAAGACCGAGTTTGCAGTTCCCAACTCCCATCGATAGTGGAAATAATCGAATTTTCATGCTTCTACGGCAGTTTTCATGTAGTTTGCGGCCATTTTCTACTGGCCAGAGTGAGAGCCTTTAGCTGGCTGCCATAAATAGGCAGGAAGATTCTATTGGCCAGCGTGAGAGCTAACAGCTGACTGACACGAATGCTAACTAGCATGCAAAAAAATCGATAGCTGCATTCGTCACAAGTGGGAAAAATTTAGATCTGCATGGCACTTTACTCCAATTGGCTGATTCCGCAGAACTGGGTTGGGTGTGAAAAAGTATTTGTTGTTAACATTCTTTTATCATTCGGTTTTTCCAGTTACAAGTCCTTTTTTAAAGCTGATCGTTTTGTGTTCATTTTGTTTAGTTCTTTTTTCGTAACAGATTTAATGTTTAGTATAGAGTTTAGAAAAATTCGCAGTGTGAGATAGGCAAGAAGTAAGGCATGTAGCAACATCATCACGGCAAAGGGTACTCCTTTAAAGGTAAGGAAGGGCAAAAATATTTTAAGTCAAGTGATAGCGATTGCTGTAGGAGTCGTACGATTTTTGAATCAAGCACGGGCAACGCCGGCCCATGCTGCTAGTATATATATATATATATATATATATATATATATATATATATATATATATATATTGAAATGTTAAGATATTACATTGAAAAACAAGTTAAGATATTATATTGAAAAACATGACAAAATCGCTACAGAATTATGCGATTCTAACAGTTTACATTCGCCTGATGAGTTGCGTTGATTTACCTAAAAACGCGACTGCAATTGTGTAGCGTTTTAGACATGTTTTTGATGTCATGTTCTAACATAAAGTATATGGGTCTACTTTTTATTGAGCCATCTTTTAAATTCAATGTTACGAACTTTTGAATTGTGTTCTATTCGTTCTCATCTTACCTGGAGATATATATATTGAGAGAGAGAGAGAGAGAGAGAGAGAGAGAGAGAGAGAGAGAGATACAACATTAGGTACGTAATTGAGGAAAACTTATAAAGACAATCAATAGAAACAAATTAGTATATTTTCAAAAAATGTTCTAAGTAGAAACAATATTCAATAAAACACTCTCAGTTATGAAGATGGTCTCGATGAGGCCTCGAAATCGACTTCATGTACGGTTCCGGAGGTTCTCGAGAATATTACTTAACACATCTACGATGGCGGCCTTCCCGAGTTTTTATTATTATTGTGGAACCATTGATTAGTCTTGAAGAATCCTTATTATTGTGGCACTGTTGGAATTAACTAGTCATTATTATTGTGTGATCGATGTTTGGCCTCTCGAATCCTTATTATTTTGGGAATCTTTCTTGGCGATCTCAATTTTTCATCATTATCGTTTCAAAAGTTGGCTTTCACGATTGCTTATATTCGTGGGACAGTTGTTTGGCCCTCGCGAGTACCTATTATTTTTGGACCAATGGTTCGCCTTCACGAGTCATTATTGAGGTTCCGATATTGACCTTTTCTAGTCCTTATTGTTGTGGCACCGTTGGCTGGACTTCACTACTTATTATTTGGAACGGATTTTTGGCTTCACGAGTCCTTATTAAGGTGGGACTTCACAAGTTATTATTATGGGACCGATAGTTGTCCTCACCAGTCTTTATTATTGTGCGAACGGTTGCTGGCTTTCATTATTATAATTGTAGACAGTTTGTTGGCCTTCGCTAGTACTTAATATTATGGAATCAATGTTTGGCCTTCATG